CTTTTCAATTTGACTTTTTTTTTGACTTTGACTTTTGGGATTGACTTTTTTTTGACTTTTTTTTTGACTTTTTTTTTAAATTTTGAAAACAGGTTCTTTCCAATGAAAGTTTTTTATAAATATATTCACAGTAACTGTTCTGATACGCATCTGACTCAGCAAAATAAGACTTGAAGTCTACAAGCAAGAACTGGGCAAAGAAATACTGATTCAGCCAGTACACTGGAAAAGTCTGTCTGTTCTTCTCCCAATGTCCAACCGACGACTAATTTAGAGCTAAGAACAGTGAGGTCACTCCATTGAAGGAGTTGGAAACTATATCTCCCATCAGTGGCTTTCACCATTTCCAACCAACAATTAGCTTGTCTTCAGTGATCATATATGTCCACTTCACTTCACTTCGAGAATTCCTCATAAGACCGACCATGTCCATTTTCACCATGTATGTTTAACACTTCTTCAGATCGTCACCATGCTTCTCTTCGAAGCGAACAGAACATGGACCGATCCGGCGCCGGAAGCGTTTCGAATCGGAAGAATCGTTTCGAATCTCTCGTATCGAACTCTTCTTTTGGACGGAAGAGGCTGAATACACAGAGTTCAGAACAATTAACCCTTAGTTTCTTCACTTCTTTTGGTGTTTTGGTTCAACTGGGGCGTGTTTTCATCTGAACACTGCTGAGATGCTAAGAAGTTGCTCATGAGCAAGGCAGCCAAGCGCGGCTGCTTCCTCAGCTTTGATCCGAACCCAGCGGCCCCTTTCGGAAGGCTAGCTGCCGGACCCTTCGACATCGGACTTGGACTTAAGACACGTTCTTGAGATCGTTTCACATCTCGGAGATCCACACTGGACCCAGAAACCATTCAGATGCTCGAGGCGACACCGTACCTCGGACCGAGTTCACCGTCCCGCGACGGTGAAGGTCGGCTGTCGCGGAGGTGCGAGAAGGTGCGTAGCACGGACGGGTACCGTGCTTCTGAATCCGTGTGAGAACAAGGCAAGCACGGACAACGAACAGACAACAGGTGCCACGATATGAGTGTACCTGGCCGGGCACTGGATGGCACTGTGAGCCATTGTGAGCCACTACAACACACATCAAACAATCTGGGTCGATCGCTCCGTAAAACCAGCTAAGGTCTGCAAGCAGAATATACTGCACCGTGCACCATTGAAACAGGACATGTGATCTTCGGCAAGAACATCTACTTCATAGCTCTTTAGCAGAGTGTCCATCTAATTGGAAACGCATGGAAACGCAAAACTCTGCATTTCCATATAGGCCCTTTGGTGGAGCACCAACTAGTGATCACGTAAGCAAGTGTACCTTCAACTAGGGTACCTGGCCATGAAAATCTTCAATAACCCTTACACACACACACACATCATTGGACATCATGAGTGCTTTCATACGCATATATAAGTATACAGGTGTTCATCTGGATGTGTCTGGGAATCAAGAACCTCCAATGTCACCACAGCCTAGCAATTATACAAAATAACCAACCCTCACTTTTCCGAACAAACTCAGCTGGCAATGACCAGAGTCTGGGTTTTCACCCCAAACTCCCAGCTGCTACTCTAATGAACGAACCAAGATTTGCAGGTGTTCCCAGCTTCCCAAACCCGCTTCCCAACCCCGACTCCCAACCCTCGCGAGGGCCAGCGTCTCTTTCTTGATGGGCTCTAAGGAGTGATGTTCAGTGTAGAGTCCAGGATGATGAAACCGTGCCGCGCACGCCGGGCAGAACCGGGCGTTGCATTCCACGCACCAAAAGGCCGCGTTCCCAGGGCATTTGCTACCTCGGGAGGGCGTTCACCATCATCCGTTCTGTTCCGAAAAGGCGGAGGCAAAGCGAATCGGCGCATGGTGTTCGTCCGAAGGGCGGAGAAGATCGCCGGGATCCGAATTGAGCTTTTCCCCATGCTAAGCTACTAGGTCGAGGATGGATCCTCGCACAAGGCTGCAAATGAAAAAATAGGCGGAGACGCCTCCTGGACGGAGGCGGAGGGTGAGATCAATTCTTCATCGACTGGGCCAGCGGAAGAATTGGGATCGGATGGGACTGGGGAATGGTCCTTTTCGCACCAAAGTCTTCAAGACTTCCTTCCAAAACTGGGCGACTCCCCGGTGACCACCCCCCCCCGAGAAAACCATTGAAAGAACGACTTAAGAGTCAATGGATCGCCGATTCATCGATGGAATCTCCGAGGGAAAGGAGAAATGGCCCATGCATTCTTCAGATCAACTTTGGGCCTCATCTGGGACATCACCCAGTTGTAATGCAAGTAAGTAGGACCTTAGACTTGGCCTTTCCAAAGTTCTCTACTGCTTTCCACAGGTTGAAAAGGCACCTGAAACACTGAAAAAACAAGAACAAATGGCTCACAACTTCACACAAGCCCAGGAAAGCACTGCTTTTACCTGTTTTCTTTGAACATGAGAGGCGTGTCAGAAGCTTCTCTCTGGCGCCGAGGTGCAGTATGGACCCACCGTCCATGCAGGGCAAACCGGATATGGATACCTGAAGCAAAAGCAAACACTAGCTGTACTGACCTGAACTGTACTGACTGACCTATACTCCCCAAGAAAAAATCGAGACCTGAACTAGGACCTGAACTAGTGGTACGGATGGGCTGGTCTTCTAGGGCTGGTCTGAACAAGCTCTCTAGGCCATAAGACTGCCGGACTGCCGATCAGGCCAGGTGGATTTTCAGGGGTCCATGGGGTGGCATATTCCAGCAACTGGGACTGTCTACAGTGCGAGTGACTGGCCGCCCTGAGGAACAAAACATCCAGAGTTAGAGACCAAGTCTCAAACCAATCATCATCACTTCACAGTCACAATCCGAACACAAGCACACTATATAAACATGTCCTATATGATCCTATATGTACAGTATATATAATATATCATCTATCCACTCATATATCCTATTAGACGATTATCAACTCTATATACAAACCATTCACCCCCTGCGTGCCTGTCACACTCCCCTGCCTGTCACGGCACTTCTTCACCCAGGTGCCAGGCATGGCCGTTTAAGGCGGTCCGGGCCGCCGAGAAGTAGGCGGCCAACGGGCTCAAGGCACTGAAGCGCGAGGTGTAGCGGTCTTTCGTGAAGAGGAAGTGATCCAGCGGCCGGAAGACATACCTGAGTGTTGTGGGTGATGGGTCATATGTAGCGGGAAGTGATGTAGTACCTGAAGTCCTACATGAAGAGAAGTTGGAAGTGATGTAGTAGGTGTGGGTGTCAGATCTGAAGACATACCTGTTGCTTGGTGTCCACCACAGACTGTCTAAGACATACCTGAAATGTGATTTATAGTGGGTCCAATTCTTTTTCACCCAATGAATGTGGATTATGGTTCATGTGGGTGTGGGTGTGTATGTTAAAAAAAGGAACTTCTTTTGAAAGGTTCCTTTATGAGCAGCGAAGAGCTGTCTGAATACACACCCATGTGATCCAGTGGGTCATACCTGATTCATCTGCATGGTGTCCACCGTGGACTTCGGCTCTGGAGCTGCACTGTGCACGGTGCCAGCTGCAAAAAAACAACAAATATTGAGCTCTTCGTTCAAGATGAGCGTTTTCCTTGGTCCATTTCCCGGTTCAGCTGTCCGTTGCTATGTAGATACAACCCCCGACTCCTCATCCTTTTGTAGATCCTCATCCTGATGTAGATATCCCACGCACTGTTCACCATGAGATAATAAGGATGTTCTGAAACCTGGTTCATTCATTCTGGATCTTCTATCCATCTGGACTTTTATCAAAATCTCTGCTGTCCCAAGTGCTGAAGGAAGGCGTTGATGATGGCATTCACCAAAGCTTTCATGCCAAGGCCCGACGTGAAGGAGGCCAGGCCCAGCTACTTTCAGAACACTTCGGAAGCGGGTTCATGGATGCACCCAAGTGTCAAGAGGAGCAGATTTGCATCCAATCCAAGGGGGGTTCCTATGGACATCCAGTCCATTTGGTGACCGGGAAGGGATGCTGACTTTCAAAGAAATTTACTAGATCCCTTCACACCATGTGGGATCCACGACCTCATCAACCATGTTTAGTATTTATGCCTCACAACTCCTTTGTTTATCTGATCATGTTATTCTTCCACCTCTGGTTTCCATTGAACATGGCTGCTCCTCGTTCATTTACCGCATGGACCGGTTCGAAAGGGAATCGCGATATATCCCCGGGCTGTCTGTCTTCAAGGACATGTTGAAGCCCAACACAGCCAAGGCATGCTGAAATTGGAAGTTACCAACACCTGACTCCACACTGAAACCGGATCAACAAAAATCAATAATAATATTAATGTTTAATACCGGTGGTCCCTGTATCAACACCTCAAAAAAGGGGCATCCTCCAAAACCACACAACAAAAGGAGATCGTTGAATCCTTAGAGCCCTTAGGAGACTGAACCCTCCCAAACAGGTTCCAACCTTGCCTTTGTTTCGCCCTTCTCCGTCAACTCCTCGGGGAATGACCTGATGGAACCTGTGAGCGGTCGGAGCTTCTTCGGTGCGGACAACAAACTGTAGCTGAACGATGCTGAACGGTCACAAAAGGTCCCTGAAACTTTGGATTTGGGGTCTGGAGTACATGTTTCCCTTTCCGGAAAACAAAAACTCTGGTAGATATACTTGGAATTTGTGTGAGACGTAAAGACTGTACGAAGGGCAGCGTCTATCATTCATCATGTCCACCTAGTCCAAAGATTTCCGCTGTGGAGAACACATGTTGTCCACTTCTGAAAGAAACAACACACAAACCTTATCTCGTCACAACCTCAAAATATCCGGCAAGAAACATAGCTGTGTCTCAAACCTTTAGCAGGCTCAGCAACTTGGACAAAAAGGTCCAAAAACCTCGTGCGCAAATCAACATCTCGAAAGACCTGGATGAAGTTGATTTCCCTCCAGATCCACCAAACCCCCTCCGCTGAGCAGCCGTGGTTCCTGCCGCAGAGGCGAAGTTAGCTCTGCTTCCGCTTGGCCAGCGCCCAAGCGAAGAAGAGGATCGCCATCCTGGCAGAGGCTGCTCGGTGCGGACGCATGCGGATGCGAGCCTGCCGGAGATCCGGGGCCATTCCCGGCCTGCTGGGTACGATCCAAAGAAACTGATGCAGTTGTTTTTTTATGTATACTGGTAGAGGCTGAAAACAGCCTCCCTCAGCTCACCCACTGGTGTTTGATCAACTGATCTTCCAGTGTTTGATCTCTTTGATGTGAAGGGGATGCTTCTGCAAAAGAAAGCCATGTCTAGAACAGCCCTGTATGGCGCATGGGTTTGCAAGGGAACAACATAATCTTTCATAATGCTGCGGCCAAGAAGAGGCCTAGAATCATTTCTGATATGAGCACCATCACCCACGTACATGCCACTGCACTTTGGTTGCAAAGTGCCCACCAAATGTCGGTTTCTATGTGTGTGTGTGTGTGTTTCCGCATAGCATGTGTGTCTGTGGCCAAAATTCTACGCTTAGCGTGTGTTTAGTGGGCCAATTTAGATTTCACTGCGTTCTTCTGCATGGCAGCGAAGATGCAGAACGCACGTCTCATGTTTGTGTATCTGCCCAGAAACCTACCGATGTGGGGTCCACCACATCTTGACTTCATTCTGCTCCCACATGGCACACTAAACAAGCAACACGCGTCTCATGCCGTTGTAATTACCTGCCCAAGCATTTTACCTGGAGCAAAGGAAGGTCCTATCGCAGAAGGAAGGCATCCTGAAGCAACATCAACACCCCAAAGCACTTGGTCTACCACTAATGTAATTTAATGCAGACTCTTGATTAACAACCCCCCCTTATGAAGATGATGCTCATGGATTTTCCAACTCAATTGGGGGTGGTTATTTTTCTCAAGAGTCTAACCGGTGGGAAAGTCTTCTTCTGGACTTCGTCGTCAACGGCCGGCGCCTCGGCCCTCCGACATCCCGGTCCAGCATACGATCCACAGCAGGAAGACCAGCAGCGCCCAACCTGCGAGGTTTCATCGGTCAACGAGGTCAAGGTGCGGACGCTGCAAAGCGAGGTTCCCAAGAGAAGCGACTGACATCGCCGTCGTTGTCACTGGAAAATGTTGGTAGACAAGTCTTCTTTGGAGTGAATCCAGGTTGGACCAAGAAGGGGCTCCAGTCTAGTAGTGTACAGTTTTGAGCTGAGTCCCCCGCTTCCGGGCCACTTCCAAACCATGAACTATAGCTAGGACTCGGTGTACTTTCCACGAGAGGGTGACCCCAAAAACGCCCTACAGATCCCTTTCCCAGGGTCCAGGTACGGGTGACTCTTCGTTGGTGGGGACAGAAGAGGTCGCCTCTTAACTCAGACCTCGGGAGACTTCACATCTGACCAGCCACGGTCGAGTCACGTGTTGAACCACCCCGGGGGGGGACCCGGGAGACCCCGCCCTGCCGGCCCTGCCCCCCCACCCAAAAAGAAGAATTGCTTGTTTGTTTGTTCCCACATCTGAATTCAAAGTACTATTTATTGGAATTTAAACCAAAACGAGATAAAACGAGGTTTGTTCGCCCAAAGCTTGGAGCTTCAGTGCTAATTCAGGTTCCTTCACCCCAAACACCTCCCCTTACATGGAAGAGTTGCCCATCTCGAGCCCTTCAACGCACGTAACACGTACCACCCTTCTGCTGTCTTGTGGGTGCTGGGAAGATCTGGGAAACCCCAAAGAATCTGGCCCCGTGGGCCGCCCGAACCACCCTGACGCCCTGAGAGAGGTACCAATTCGGTACCATCGATCCTCACGGACGGAACATCTTGATGGTTTCACTTTCATTCGGGGGGTATACCAGGTCACCTGGCTGGACACGGTGTCACCTGGCTGGACATCTCCACAGGTCACGGAGTCACAGGTCTCCAGACTCCAGGGCACCCCGTTACATAAAGCGCGAAAAGGTAGATCCCTTCAAAATTCAGCCACCAAGCAAGGGTGGTACTGCTCACCCCCATCTATGAATGTTTGCTTCGCCTAGAATGTGATCTCCCATAGGAAGCTCAGGTCGTCGATCCTGGAGAAACACGGCGCGGGGGTTGGGAATCCGCAGGATAGAAGGCGAAAAAGAACACATGTCTTTCTTACTTTTACCATGCCTAATAAGTGCCCCCTGTTTCAGAATAGTTCGTGTAGGGTTCCTATCTGGCAACTTATAAGTTTTAGGTCATAAGGATCTATGATCTATAGCAGGAATGCATCGAGCTTTCAAAGAACCTGGAGCCGCGGATCCGTTCAGCATGTACGAGTACTTCCTCTTCAGTCCATGTGCGGCCCATTCTACAAAAAAAACTGGTCGGGTAGAACTGTCCCCAATGGTTTTGATATTTGGAAGCGTCAATGGCCCAAAATCGGCGGTATCCGGACTCGAACCACCGCCCCAGGAAAAAGGGTTAAAGATCCGTTGTTAGGGTCCTTCCACGGAGAAACAAGAGGCAACACGCCTTGGAACCCCCTTGGTGTCATGAGACATCGGATCCTCCCGGAGAGGTCCGCCGCTGCGTCGTGTTTCGCCGCCATCGCATCATTGGAGAGGCGGAAGCACAAGCTGCGGACAGCATTCCAAAATGCTCTCAGTGAATCCCCGTCACTAACTGTCCGTCCTACTTTCATATGTTCCCCAAAACGGAAACTGTTCACTTATGTTTTAAAAATACAAAGAATATATTATTATATAATATATAACACATATATACTACTGCCGACAATTGTCAGTGACTATCGTCCAAAGTCGAGCAATGAGGCGTGCTGCTGCATGCAGCCGAACATACAGTCATGCAAGAACGCCGACGGCTCTGAATGCTGAATCCAGCTGTCCCGCCCAAGAGCAACACTTGGCACTCAAAAAAGTCCTTCAAAGGAGGTGGCCGGGAGAACAAATGCTTGCATCTCGAAGGAAAACAATAAGACCCGCATGGTTGTGTGAAGTGACCTCTGAAAAGGCTCCAGCCGTGATGCTATGCCCCAGGAGGTACTTTAAAAAAGGGCCCACGACATGAACATGGCAAAGTCATTGGCACGTTGTGTGCCCTAATGGTACGAGCTATACATGAGACAATTGCAGTGGCCGATCAAGCAGCTCAATGTTCGGATGCTCTCGGATGACTCTGATCTGCTCAGATAGTGTAGGCTCATGAAACGATGTTGAAGAACGTCTACGGCCATTGGGATGTGATCTAGATATCCGTCAAGTCCAAGACCCCTGGTCACTCAACATGAACAGAATGGACCATTCTGGGGAGATCAACCCTTTGGAAGGGTTAGGTTTGACACAGTGATCCCAGTGTCATCACAACATCAGGCCTCCTAAAACCACAGCTCTTGAAAGACATCAAGCACCTGGCCCTACGTCTCGCACCAAACCAAACGACGACCTTTTCTGCGCCGCCACGGCTTCGTTCGGTCATGCACCACCCGGTCGACCGGGGCTCACCCCGCCCAGGTTCGGTGCGACCCGCTCGCACCGATGTGGCGGTTCGGAGCCCGGGATGGTCGCCCCAGGAGCAGCTCCAGATGTGCCAAGTGGCGGTAGAGCATCCATTGGATTGGCCAGGTCGATCCGGCTTACACACAGATCCATGAGATCGGGATTGATGAGGGTTGGCAAAGGACTAGGGATTGCTAGCTGCAAATGATGTCTCGTATTACGCGTATTATATCGTGAAATCTCTGGAGGCCATCCGCAGACTTGGGTGGAGTGTTCCTGGAGTGTTCCGCATCGTTCACTAAAAGTGGGTTAAGTGCTTCTGCCCTATATTTTCCAGATAGGGCTCCTCGGCATCCACTCGTGAGCTTCAATTTCCATTTGGTGTTTTCCATTTCTATATATGAAAAAAAGTGAAGATCACAAAAAATAGGAAAATAGGAACATCAGCATCCCCCAGTTCAACCGTTCTGACCCCACTCACCGGCCAGAGCTTCGTATCCTGGCCAGAGCGATGGGACCAAAAGAGTTCACAGCGTCAGCACCGAATGTGGCCACCAAATTGTGTCTTACATAGCCCAAACACTGTATGGTATATATGCATACATTGACCCCCCAAACCAGGTATATATGGCAGTGGAATGGAGTGTCTGGGAATTGTTTCTGAAATTCTACTATATCAGAATCTATATGAGTCATGAGTGAACGTCGAACTTTCTGAAGGACATGCGGATGCCCACATCCATATTATCACATTATAGAACTTTGATGAACTTTGTAGACTTAGAAGGTCTTCATGAATCCATGTTTCGTCCTGTCTAGAACCTCCCTGATGCATGTGCACATGTGGGCTTTACTGAGACACACACACACAACAGCCGCAAGAAGTAATCACCTATACAATACACTTAGACACTTAGAGTTCCAACTACCCTCTCAGAAGGTACCGAGTTTGCTGGGTCTGGCCATACTAACGGAACCTGAGGGATGTGTTCGGTCTTCCTTCGCGTCCCACGTCCCATGTTCCTTCGACCGCGATCCGCTTTCGCGACCGATGCCCGACCGTGGTGTCCTCGGCTGTGCTTGTGCCGAGCGCGTGAGCAGCCAAATCCACGTGGGATCCTCCTGGGACGGTCGGTCCGTTTTGCGCCGAACGAGTCGTGCGGCGCTGCGGCGGAACGAAGCGCACGGCATCGACGTCGCTGCGGCGCTGCGGCGCGGCGAAGGCGCTTCGGCTCGTTGGGAGAGGCGGTGGGACGTGGTGCTGAGCAGCATCGACGTCGTGGGAGTTCGAGGGATGCGGGGAGGGATGGTGGAAGTGATCAGTCATCTGAAAAAATGTCTGGACAGACCGGCAAACCGGTGGGTGGTGGGAGTTTGGTTGGTGTCTTTGCACTCCCTGAAATAGTCCATGGAAGTGGAAAACCACCCGTTTGTGAGTGTGTAAAGCTCAGGTGGTGGATTTCAACCATTGAAACTTGAAGCTTGAGTAAAATTGACCTATACCTGGACCGCCAAGAGAACAGGTCCGAGGTAGTCAAAGTACCCATTGTTTCCAGGGCGGCGGCGACAGCTAGATCTTACTGAAAAGGCTCAATAGACGTTTGATGCCAATGACTCTGCTGGAAATTGATAAATTCTTCCCACCAACTTTCCTGGTTCGACCGAGCGCGTGTCCTCTCCCGAGAGCGTTTGTCTCCCTCGGTCCTCCGGCTCTGTCAAGAACTCCAGGGAGGCGCGCCAGGTCACATGAGACTCACATGCACCGAGAAGCAAAGGAAGGGTGCAGGAATCCTTTGGTACCTGGTCAAGCTGAGAGTCAGGCGGGATGGTCGGGTGACTCAGTCAAAAGCCTGAAATAGATTTAGCTACAGTGGTTTCAAAGCCCTAGGGATCCAAGTACCTTCTCAGAAGGCACTTGGACCCTGAAAACCTACATAAGAGTGTCTCCAACCACCTCCTGAGAAGGTACTTGGATCCCCAGGGGAGTAGATTGCACAATCCCCAAGGTCGGTGGTTTAGTGGTTTATTATGATTTGTTATATGTGGACCCCCATCTGTCTAGGACATCTTCCCATGACCGTGTGCCATCGACCGCGGCACACGAGAGGATGGCGGTCTTTGAATGGGCCATGATCAAGAACTCGAGCTCCAGTCTGTTCATTTGAAAAGGGTCCGTGTGATATCGTGTGATCTTCAGCTGGCCTCCAAGCTTGAACACCCAAATCCATTTTAAGCGAATCAAGTAGTTCAGGTTTGGTCTACTGTTTTGATATGTTGTGATGCTTTGGCATGCTTTAGCTCAGCCTGCTGACTGCACTTCACCACCATCTTACCATGCTGGACAGTCTTTCTGGATGCCTGGAAGTGGAGATCTGTGAAAGCGTCACTGGACCCCCCGTCTTCCACATCCTTCCACCTCCTTCCACGCCCCACCTGTCGTCCCACATCGTCCAGGAGCGCCAAGACCACTGGCCACCGCTGGCGGCACACGCTCAACGCCGCGTTGAGCGTGATGCTGCTGGGCTGAAGACGAGCGTCGTGCCCGAAGCGGCGGAGATAGGACAAGGCCCTGCGCCAGAGCGGTACGCTGAGGTCGCACGAGGTGACCTAGGGAAGTCCGGCGTTCGGAACGAGTTCTCCCCCAACCAAATGGAGACCCCCCCGAAAAGTGGTCCTTGATGTTGGGTGTGTAGTCCCTAGGGCTCCAACCATCTCCTCAGAAGGTGGTTAGACCCCCCAAATCCACCCCAACCATGTTCTCAGGAGGTGGTTGGAGCGCTAGGGATAGTTTAAATCCGGGAGAAATGGGTTTTGGTCTGTTGTCTTCTTCCAGAGGGTCGTTGCCTGGAAGGTCTCCCTCTTTTAATACATGCCCATTTCTGGACTCAATTGATAGTTCAACCATGTTCACGGTCTCAAAAAGGGTTTTAGATGGTTGTAGAATCCATGCCTGGTTATATAATGAATCAAGAGTCTCCAATCACTCAGGACTTTCGGGATGGTACCTGATTCTTGAGCACCAGATAGCACCAGCCACCTGGGAAAGCTTCTGGAACAAGACATGGAGAAGAACCCCCCAAAAGGTCATGACCAAAAGCGAGGAGCTTGGTCTTGGCATGGATATTTGACACACACACACACGCACACATGAATTCGTTTCTACTTCCAGGTTGCCAGTCAGATTGTGATCTGGTGAACTGACATGCGCCTCCAGTTAAGCTACCAAAGAAATGCAACTTCTGTTTACCCCCCAAAAATACCTGTGTGAAAGCACCAGTCATGGTCTCACAGAACGACCTCTGAAAAGGTGACCGAAACAACAAAACGACCTCTTGGCCCGACAAACACCCCTGAGCCCGGCCCATCCACACTCTGGAAAACCCGGCAAACACATAACACTTAGCTATTCGGAAAAAATAAGAAGCAAAACACATAACAATGAATAACCATGACCTGTCTTCACACCCTGAAAATCCACATACCCTCTGAGAAGGTGATGTGTTCGACACTCTTGTGTCCAGTCGTACCTTCTGAGAAGGTACGCTCTGGATTCCTGATAAAACCATCTGACCATCTTTGGGAGTGGAACATCTACCACGGGAAGACCTCTGTCTTCATACAATCCTGATTCCAGGTTTGCTCTCATCGGTCGAACCGGTGACATCAAAGCTGCTGCGGACCGGTGCCGCTCGGTCCACCGGGGAGCCGTGACTATTCAGAGGATCGAACATGAGGGTTTCTGTGGACCCATGGATTCATCGACTAGACCCAGCTGTACTCAGTATACCCGGTAACTAATATAGCTTAGGCATGCCTAGGCTATATAGAGTATATAAGACGTTCAATGTTCCAAGCTCCAAAGGGATCCTGCCAATCAGTTGTACACCCTCCCATGTCGTCTCCAAATGGTGATCTACATCTTCTACTCCTATACCAAGGAGATGTTCACCTATATACCATGGGGTTGGTCCTCCAATCCCACAGGCACACGTCAGTTCTGGTGAGGTTCTTCCCAAGTTCCGGCTGAACCAGCTGAAGATCCGATGCCTAGCCACAGCAGCATCCATGCTGATGACATCTATGCGAATGCCTCCCACGAGCGCAAAAATAAACAAATCCAAGTGCGCCACTCTTCGAGTGTGATCATGTGGCTAATCGGACTTAAAGTATCTCACCAACCTGAATGGAGGCCCCCTTACTCCTGAAACAACAGCTATATATAGCTAGAAGCGTACTCTCTCATGCGTGGTGCTACCATTGTGGTGCTGCCAATGACAACGAAGAAAACCTTCAACTGAACAAATCAAGTGGACATGAAGGACATCCAATCATGCAATATACCTATGCGTCAATGCGCATCTTCTAACACATCCAGATCACATCTCTTCCGGACTTCCCCGGGAACACCATTCCCATCCCTCAAAGCTTTATTCTTCAATGTTTGAAGCCTAAAATTGCCCCAGAATTCTCTGCGTACTATGGCGACACCTCAGTCATTGAAGCAAAATGAAACAGCACAGCTGCTCAAAACAAGTGGGGAATGTTTACCAGCCCATTGATCCCGAAGCAACCACCCCAATGACCCCAATGTACATTCTGTTGGCACCAGCCGCTTTGTTTCGCGAGCACTCTGGCAAAATCCATCAAAATTTCCATGCCAATCCTCCCCCGTGCCTAGGGCCGCCTGCTCAACCACCCACATCTGTGTCCAAAGGCCTTTGGTTCACTCTCACCCGCAGCCCGTCCTGAGAACGCCATCTGCTCCAAGAGCTCGGCGCTGGCTCTCCACTGCTTGCTCTTCTCGCAGGCGCTCAGCGTGGCGTTGTAGGTCACATCGTTCGGCAAGGCGGAGGAGATCAACAAGCCTTGGACGGGCTGCTCGTGGGCTGAGGACGGGACAGGGGAGTGAGGTTTGGTGCATTTTGTGTCTTTTTTTTGGATGGTTGGATAGTGGGAGTCTTCTGCGACAGGTTCAGCTTAAGCACATCCTGTATCTGGTTCGGGGATGTTCGGGATTCTTCGCTTGGAGAGGGGCTTTTTTAATGCTCTTGGATCCCTCGAAACATGCTCCGAACACCTCAACGACTTGGAACCTCGAAAGACGTCCACCACCCGCAACGACGACCATTGGAGCCTCTCTTCTCCGGGGCCCTGCGAGCCCAGCAGCTCAAGAGGGTCAGAACCATCCTCCAGCACTCGTAGCCGGACGCGGCGCCTTTCTCGCAGGAGCTCAAGGCGAGGTTCAGGAGGATCCTGAGGTTCAGGGCGCGGATTAATGTGGCCCTCAGATTTATAAACCCCCCTAGAATAATGACTTTATTTTTCCTGCACAGATTTATAAAGGCCCCCAGAATAATGTTTTTTTTGGGGGGGAGGGGTAGTTGTAGTGGAATATCTTTTATTGTTATAGTTTACTTTTTCCCTTTTGATTTGCTTTACTCACCCTCTATTCCTTATTTACTTTTCCTAAGCTCTTTAGTGTTGAAGCTTTCCAAAAGTATCCAAAAGTCAGTGCGCACTTTCTTTATAAACTCCCTTATTCAAAAGTATTGAAAAACAAAAAAAATAAACATTCAAGCAAAGGGGGTAGTCCAGCAAGCAGCTTTCTGACATTATT